GGAGAGACGACCTGGGGCAATACTGCCTCCTGGCAGTGGGAAGCGGTACTGCAGTGTGGAGATGGCGAAAGAGGCTGGGTAGCGATTGCCAAGCAAATGAGGGCATGTATCTGCCACTCGTAGCCAGTGAATGACGCCATCGTCATGACTCAGTGTGTGCAAGTTATAACAAAAAGCTGCATAATGCTGTTTTTCCCATATTTATTTGCTTTCAGGGCTTCTGAATCCTAAAACTTTTATATTTGACTGACATTTAGATAAGTGGAGTCGACCTTGGCCATGACCTTCAGTTTCTGTTGATCGGGCGCCGATTCGGTATCCAAGAAAAGCAGATGAATCCCCGTTGGCGATAGCGGTCTCTCCCCCCCCCCGCACCGCCTCGTGTGTAGGAAAGCCCTGGGAAAGAAACACGCCAGGAGATCACGCTCCTTCCTCCCACATGCAGCACTGCGGAATTCTGGGCGTGACTTCATGTGGGCGTTCTGGGCACGACGGCGGTGAAGGCACATAGGAGTCACGCGCGGGGGCCCGCGGGGGGTGGGAATGTGGGGCATGGGGGGGGGGGGCGCAGCTGCGCTCTGGCTCCCTTCTCGATCTATGTGTGTTGATGACGTGCAGCGTTTTACTCATGCGGGGGGCTGGGGGGGGACCAGACACACCTCTTCCTCTTCTTGTTATACTCTGAGCCAATGGCATCTTCACATTTCTATGACGCTGATGAGGTGAGGTGGGCGACACCAGTGTGGTTAGCTGGCTTTGGGAATCCCCCATTCCCTAGCCTGGCTAAATTCAGATGTACCATTAAGCTGAGCAGCAAACACACACACACACACACACACAGAGTAAGCCACATAGTAAAGGCTGTGAGAGCAGGGTGTTCGGTATAATCCCAGTGATTGCAGACTTGGAGGGCGCTGCAGTTTGAGTGTGTTATTCTGGGAAAGTCTTACATTGCTTTTCTTAAAAGGTTCAGAATACTAATTTTGTATCATAGCTTTCGGTGGCTGGCATTGCAGTACAGGCTGGGGTGTGGGTCTGGAGAGCCTCTCCCAGCATCACCAAACTGACAGTATGGGAAAACGTGTTTTGTCATGTGTCCTGCTTATGAACAGAACATGCCAAGGAGTTGCTGACGTCCTCCCCAGCTCTCCGGTGAAGTCACTCCTACAGAACCTGCCAAAGCTGCTCTCATCCTGGGCTTTATTTAAATTTGCAACATCATGAAACAAATCAACTATTCACTAGCACAACAGTCAACAGATATTCAAATGTTATATAGTCACGAAAAGTCTTATAATTTTACCATTATAGTTCAAATATCTTTAATGTATGTTGTGAAGCAATTCCTTAGAGCTTCGGATTTGACCCAATGAAAGTAGTGACTCAGCGCCATTAAAAGCTTGATTTATTCGAATGGTTATTATTGTTGCCTAGTGGTTGCCTGCGGTCATTTCTGCCCATGAACCGCAAACTGAACATCGTGTCCTCCAACAGAATCTGAGTCAGCTGCATAACTGCTTTCTAGAACGTTCTGTGAGGAGACCCTTCACTGTCGCTCAGCTACAGTGGCACAGCAAAAAAAAATGGCGCCTAAGGTGTGCACACCCGCAGGCGCGCGCGCACACACACACGCACACACACACACGCACACACACGCACACGCACGCACACACACAGATAATTTGATGCGGAATGGAGCAGAGTTCTAAAGGCGCATCACTAACAGAGCTGGCACACAAAAATGGGTCTGAGGGGATGATGAATTATGGGTAACTAAATGATCCATGTCATGTTGCTAGGTAACGCTAGGGCTGGATGATGCAGATAAACGCAAGAATTCCACCCCTGCCTGTGAGCAAAGACCGAGAATAAGAAACTTGTTGGGGGGGGGGGGCAGCATGTGACAGAATGAGGGACATTTGTAGACCATACAGACATGCACCCATCTCAGAGATCCTTCTAGATCCCACGTCCTGCTCTCTCCCCTGCTGTCGCCATCTTGTGTTTGCCCACAGGTTCACTGAGCTGGTTTTCTACTCTCACATATGTTCTGCTCACTCTAATACACACAAGCAAACACACACTTTATCTCTGTAACTGTAGCCGTTTCTCCCCACGCATTTTATCCATTGTCTCCTGGTCACACGTTCAGAGCACGCTGCAGGAGCCAAGCGTCTGCATTACGCTTTGGTGGATATCATAACGCTCTATCCTCCATACAGGCAGGAATCTCCACGTGAAGCACACTGACAGCATGGTGTCATTGGTAGTCTCTTCTGATGGATGCTTCTTTCCAATTATCTAGTGACTGAGGGAAGAACATTCATCTGAGAGATTAGCCTGTGGTCCATGTTGTTCTGGGAATTGATCTAATGCTCCTTTAATCTCTACTGGATGTGTTCAATGCAGCGGTCCTTTCAACATTCCCTCTGGGGATCTTCAGCAACATTAGCTGAGAAATGAGCAAAGAATTTAACAGCAAACCAGCAAGCCTAACCACTGCTTAAGATATGCACATACGAATTCAGAGAGGTACCAGGCACCTACGTTTTGTACATAGGCATTTTTCAACCAAAACGATCCAGTTAGAACAAAGATCACTGTTTCAACGTATTGCAAAGTATTTGGAAGTGGGCGTTAAAAAAGTTTGTTATTCTGTTGAGTGATACTTCCTGGGAAAAGCCACCAATGACAGAGCGCTTAATGGATATTGCATGTGCCACTATAATGACATCACATGGAATTGTATTTTCACTGAACAGCAGCAAAATAATATAATTTTGCATTAACCTGGTACAGGCAAGACAGACCAATACTGCATAATTTATTAATTATCTGAACAGTGTCTATGACATGACTAAGTATGTTTTTCTGGTTTAGCAAATCACTTTAAGAAATGAATTCATCAAGTAACACCGGTGGATTTTTTTTATGACATTGGCTTCCTTTCTCAACAATTCGACGCCGGTGGTGAGAATGATGGAAAGCTGATGGCATCAAAAAATATTTTTTGTAGGAATAAATAAAGAACTGAGTGCAAGTAGTAATATTATGGCTGTAATACAGACATTAGAGAGTGAAGATTTGTTATGCAAATACATACGCAGTGCCTTTGAAACGTCTGGCTGGGATCCTTTGTGCTTTGTGCTTTTAGACAGCAGAGTTTTAATTACACAGGCCGGAATGGGAACATGCAGTGACAGGGTGACAGCGGACTGATCAGTTATAAACACTGTGTTCAGATGATTTCTCTTGTAGTTAAGGAGAACCGCTGAGCGGAAGGTTAAGGGTTCCTGAAGATGTAATGCGATGCTACTGTGTCTTAGAATATGGCATCTAAGTCGAAGAGTTTCATCAAACCAGTGGGTAACGTAAGGGATAAATCACGACGTGCTCTGCAGTTATACGAAAATGATCAACGACAACTTGGACATGAAGAGGAGGGCCGCTAACCAAGTTGGAGCCGATTATTTTCTTGTAACTACACACCTCAAAGCTTATGTTACGGCTAATGAACAAAAAATGATAACAGAATGAACTACTCAAAGTTTATTTTTTCATTTAGCATTTAATAATGTTCCAATGCGCTCTTAAAAATAAAATCCCTAAAAGGACAGAATATCTGATCAGGTTACCATATAAACCAGTAACAGCTTGGTGATAAAAATGACTGCTTATTTATTAATAAAACGTCACACAGGTTTTTATATTAACATGTCTAATAACATTAAAAAGCATTAATATAGAATCGTTATTAGGCTGCTATTCAACACCCATGTGATGACTCTGGACCAATAAAAAGACAGTATTTACCAAAACTGTGGTATAAAAAATATATGCGTTCATTTTGTCATGGAGTGTTTGCTGTTGTAGCTTGCAGTTGCGTGTAATGGTGAAGAGGCTCCTCTGCTATGGGGGACTCTTCAGAGACTCACTTCGAAAGTTAAAGATAAGGGACTCTCTAGCCAACTGATTCCACTCCTATTCTTCCATCCATCCAACAGATTATCCAGAATAGCCTGTTGCAGGTGGCAGAGGGCACAGGGTGCAGGGTAAGGGAATAACCTGCTGGAAGCGTAGGGCACACACTCACGTGATCACACTCCATGGGCAATTCAGTGTCCTTTTGTTTCCTTCTGCCAGGGTGGTAGGTGAGTTTAATTTAAGAATACTCTGCACAAGTTACAGAAGAACGCTGCTGCCCTAGCCACAATCAAGGTTATGGAAAGTGGATAAATGAACAGTTGGAATTTTAATCGTGTTTAAAATCCATCGATGTTTTTGAACTGTGGAGGGAAACCAGAATTCCTGGAGGAAACCTTACGATCACATAGGGAGAACATGCAAACTCCACACACACAGAACACTGGCAGAGACTTGAACCCAGGTGCCAGAGGTTTGGGGTGACAGTAGTAATCACTGCGCCACCCATCTACCACTGTGCCACTCATCTACCACTGTACCACTGTGCCACCCATCTACCACTGTACCACTGCGCCACTCATTTACCACTGTACCACTGCGCCACCCATCTACCACTGTACCACTGCGCCACTCATCTACCACTGTACCACTGTGCCACCCATCTACCACTGTACCACTGCGCCACCCATCTACCACTGTACCACTGTACCACTGCGCCACTCATCTACCACTGCGCCACTCATCTACCACTGTGCCACCCATCTACCACTGTACCACTGTGCCACCCATCTACCACTGTGCCACCCATCTACCACTGTACCACCCATCTACCACTGTGCCACTCATCTACCACTGTGCCACCCATCTACCACTGTACCACTGCGCCACCCATCTACCACTGTACCACTGCGCCACTCATCTAGAAAAATATATCTAAGGAAAGTAACAGCTGCTCCCCATCAAGCCAGCAGGTTGACTCTGTAGCTGTCATTCGTGTTCTAAATAATCCACTTGCCGTCAAATATTTCATTCGTAATTTTTCATTTGTTTCAGGAGATGATTACAGCTGAGGCTGATGATTTTTAAAATTGATTTATTGGTTTTTAAAAAATCAGATATTTCTTCATTCTTACAAAAAGAACACTGACATAATTTACCTGGCTGTCCTACCGAACAATAGAAAATGTTGAAATCTGTAAACATATATATCTCGCAAAGCAATCAAGTGCATAAAGTACAATAAAATGGACATTGGTGATCCACACTCACATCTGCAGCTCACCTTACATCAGAGAACAGATTAGACATACAATTAAGATACCACCCTTGCAATATTTTTTTAGCAGTTTATCAGAGTTAACCTCGAAATCAAATAAAGTCAAAATATATTAAGGAAATTCTACATCTCTCTGTCAGCTCTACAAAAACAATCACATTCACATGACACCATTCCCATAGATACCATCAAGCCATTTATGTCACAGATACATATCAGAACCAGGTCTGAAACATACATCATCAACAAAAATGTTTCCATTGCTGCTGCCAGTAAGGGGGGGGAGTAATGCTTCCTACAGATACCCCCTGCAAATGACTCCAATGACACAATCATGAAACACTGTTATGCATAATAATGCATATATAATACATTATAATACAGACATAGTGAAATCCACCCTTAAACTCCATTGCAATGTGCATGAGGAATCGTAGGGGTTATACTGCATTGTACATAGTCTTTGCAAGCTTTTCGTGTTACCAAAAAGGTTTGGTCGTCTTTGTGTTATATGTTTCAACACATAAGGGTCATGGAACATGCATGAGGGCACCATGGAAGGGGGTGTGTGGCGGGAGAGTACAGGCAGGTCATCACCTAGCTGCCGGTTATTGTGTAAGTCTGCGCATGCCTGGGGAGGGGTGGTTGGCATGTGGCGCTTACTGGGGTACAGCATCACGCTCTGCCCTCTGGGGGAAACACTCTCAAGGTGACCTACTTTAGATCAGTGGTATCAGCATGAGGCTGCCTCTCTGCTGCTTTGTGCCTGAGCACCGGACCGTGGGCCAAAACCTGGGGCAGCCAAACGAAGCGTTTGAGTAATGAGGCCCGACGGCCAGGCGGTGCGGTCGGCCATCTTGGCCATGCGTGGTCCCCCACATTGCCCAGCCCGAGGAGACTCATAAAACCCAGCTCCCGCAACCCGCTTTATCGGATCTCAGATACAATTATTCACTCATAATGCATTTCATTTATTATCCCCGATTCTGGTTCCATACGTGTACTGACAGCAAATGAATTAGCCCGTTTGATGGATGCCCTCTGTTAGTGTTATTGTAGGAAGGTCTCAACGGCATTTATCCCACCATGTGTTTGACCATATATCACGTTCTGCTAATATAAGATGATGCACACAAGAACTACTGCTTATAATTCAGCTCGCATCAGACTATACAAGTCCATGTGGTTCATAAAAACTATTCACATTCAAACCGTTTGAGTTGATTCTGTTTAATATATACTGACACTTCATGCGGTTTATATAGGAGACATCGATTAAGACGAACCTCAGGTAATACGAACGATGAACGACACGAAAAAGGAGAGGAAAAATAAGGGCTTAATGACTTTCGTATGTGTGTCACATTTGTGAGAATTTCTCTGCAGATAAATATCCGCACAAACATTCTTGACAACATTCATAAATAAGTCGCGCGAGGCAATATTTTAAAAAACGTTCAATCAGAGGAGAAAGCAGAAGTCCAGCTTCGTTGTCCCAGTCAATGTTCAAGAAGATTCTTCTGTAACAGAAGAAATGTCTTACAAGGAGCCCACCGGGGAATTGCAGTTCGGAATCTCTGTCCACCTTCCGGGGGCCTCCCTGCAGAGGAGCCAAGATGGCAGCTTTCATGAATACGGACCTTCCTCTCCATGTGACGATAAATCATGGCGCTCATATAGGTTTGGGGACGGCGGCCTGATTTTGAAACACATGTCCAAGCCTCCTCCCTCTCATGTCCATCAGAGATGTTTCCAGAAGGTTTCCCCCTGTCTCGCCAGCGCCATTGCCTGGAGGTGCCCTTGGTGGGCTGCCGCACACTCAGTCTCCGCACGCCTGCGGCGGGGGGTGGGGCCACAGCAGTTACATCAGGATTTTCCCACAAGGGATTCAAAGTAGCAAAGTGCGGGGGGCCGGGGGGGGGTCTCTGCATCTGTCCTCAGAGGCCTCTGTTAGCTGCTGATTTCAGCTTAATCACCCACTCCCCCCCCGGGTTGCTGTTGTACAGGTCCAGCAGGTGGGTGTTAGGGTCCAGGCAGTGCTCACCTGCGTGAAATGACGACACCTCACTGCACTGCACCGTACCGCACCAGAGTGCGCGAGGGCTGTCCCGTTTCACGGGATGTGAGGAACACTACTGGGATATTCAACAGCTGTGCGCCAAGTGTACTTACCAATGTTCCCGCCCACTTCATAAATGGCACAGTCATGGTAGGTGAAGCAGCCGTTTCTAATGAGAACACGGTCAACAATATATGTGAATAAGTCAAGCGGTCAAACCTTTAGTTGTTAACATATAGGAATTAAAAATTCAGCAGGAATAACTACTGAAAAATCAGGCATGATTTTTTTTTTTAAGTAAAGCTAATTCAAATAGCATAGCATCTAGATAGTTAATAGAATTTTTGTGTTATAACAGAATAAATACAGATACATGGTAATTATTCATTCTGGTTTCATCAGATTTTGTATTTAAGATGTTGTAGGAATACTGGGAATGTAATGTGCACAGATCTGCTGATGTACCTTTTCAGCCCTTTGCCACTGTCAGAGCGGCACAGGTCTTGGTGGACCTGGGCCAGCAGGTCTGCTGCGCGCGAGTTGATGTTGAGGTGGACCTCAATGGAGCTGCTCAACATGTCGCCCACCTGAATCTTAACGGTTCGGCAGGGCTGCAGGGAGATGTAGGGGATTAACCCAAAGCACCTCACTAAAGGGTTCTACAGAACGTGGTTTAAGAAGGCCCATATGGTTAATCCAGTCCAGGCTAGTCTGGAGAAGGCAGCTTCCGGACTTCATATGAATTGTTTTTAACCGAGGAGATTCAAATTCAGGGAATTGTTTTGTTGGCCGCTGGGTGGCGATTCTTAGCTAAAGGCTGCTGGAGACAGACAGACTCGCCTCTGAGGAGGACTTCTCCGGCTTGTCTCGGCTGTCAGTGTGGATCTTCCTCAGGAGGTTCTTGATGCGCTTATCGTAGAACTGGTACCGCCGGCTGCTGTTCTCGTTCAGCTTGCGGACCTGGCTCATCAGGAAGTTGGGGACCTGTGACCCGAGACATACATTTTTATTTTAACATCCCCCCTTTTTTTTTTTAATCCAAAGCGACGTAGAATTGAGAAGATGGGGTCACTCAGTCCCCAGGACACCTGTGGATTAGGGGTGTCGCTCAGGGGTCCAACAGTGACCTGGCACCCTCCCACCCATAGTCCTAATCCGCCAAGCCACACACTGCCCCAAAACCCTTCAATAACACATCAACAACTACCAGACCTATCACCCGTATGGCTGATACAACTCATATATTTTTAATGTCTGTACCTTTGTACAAGTATAACTTCAAAACACTGCTATCTAGAAGAAAATTCTCAATTAAATTTACTTATCAGCTGTAGGAGTCCAAATATACTTGTGATAATTTATTAAGTTACATATTGATTTATGTGTAATGTTTTGTGCCTTTAAGAGTGTCAGAATTGCAAGGGAAGAGGTCATTAATAATGTGATTAGTCATTGTAGGATGGACCATATGGGTTTTTGACCTCTATCTCTCTCACACATTCTTTTTGAAGTACCTCAAAAAAAACCCTTGTTATACGGAAACCTTATTAACCGTATTATTAAAGTAAATAGTTTTATCCGCGAGTGGTCTCGTGGATAAAATTTCATTTTTGTAGGTTGGGTGGGGGAGAGTAGAGGCATCAACCTAAGACACTATATCGAAATTGGAACTTTCAGCAGCACACGCAATGTGCACATATACTGTATCAAATCATTGAAAACAGCATAAATTCCATGAGGAAAAATATTAATGTTGTTTCAACATTTTGGTCTGTGGTATAATCTTATATATCTATAGCAGGGGTGGGCAATTTTATTCGCAAAGGACCGGTGTGTATGCAGGTTTTTGGGATAACCTGTAGGTCAGCTGTTCAAACCCAGGTGTGAGGACTCTTCAGCCAATCAGCCCTCTAATCCGTAATCTAATTAGGGAGTTGCAGTGAGAACCTGCATACACAGCGGCCCTTTTTGGATAAGACTGCCCACCCCTGATCTATATCCTCCTGAGACCCAAGGAAAAAAGTGTCCTTCAGTTTTAGTTTATTTGTCTTTGGAGGAAATAAGACATCTTACAATTTAGATTTTTTCAAATTTATTCTTATTTTAATTTCACAGCATGTCCTCTTTAGTGCACAA